AAAGATGGGTGGTTGATGGAAACAACTGGAGACCCAATTATTATCAAAGTAAAATTACTCATTTGTTATTTTACGTGAATCTTTAAAACCTTACCATTTAGCTCGGTAAAATATATATTATTAGAAGTTCACGTGATGAGGGTTACTCATGTTAACAATCAAAAGGTATCATGACGCTGCCAACGTTATTTATTTTTTCTATATTAAACAAACTTTGTAAAAAAAAAAAAGCGATTATTACGAAAAGGCATAGAAACAATCTTTCAATTATTACCGACAGATGGCGATCACATAATAATAATAATGTAAACCTAGCTTTACTAGGTCTTTTTGTTTTATAAATATTTATCATAAGCTGTAAACGCACTACAAAAGTAAATCAGTAAATTACGCATTCTCATGTAACGCACTGTTTAAGGTGTCTGAAAATCTGTATCAAATATTGATCAATGTTTTATATCAATGCATATATTCTTTTTTCCAAAGCATAGAAAACGTATCTTAGTGTTACGGTTAGCATTTTAAGGGGTTAAGTCGAAAAGCATCTGGATCGTCGACGAGGTTGACAAAAATATCACTGTTAACATCAATGAATTAAGTTTAACTATATAGGATGTTTCGATGGCAGTATTGCCATCTGGTGTATGATTTCTAAAGATTAATTTGAAAAGGTTTTGTTCTTCCTAAGATAGTGTTTTTTCAATTGTAAGTAACCTTCCTACGCTAATTACTAAAGTATTACATCGAATTTCCACTGGAAGTTTGTGCATTGAAATGTTTTGAGGAACTTTAATGACACACGGACAGACAGATGAACACGCACGAGGGTTGTTTGGACTATAATGTTTCCTATACTAACTGACCTACCCGTTCAATGCATGGGGGAAAACACAGAGATCACAAAGGGTGACATAAATGAGGTAAGATCCGAACGCTGACTCTTATGTCACTACCCAAGAAGTCCTAAAGGTACAGGGTTGATGAAAAACTGTCCAGCGGTTCGCCAGTCATAAGCAAAAACACACACAGGCTTTTATCAAATAATTATTACTATATTACAGAATTATATTCTACAACGTGCGTACTGGAGCTTCTGATTGTTGTATTGAAAGAGAATTGTGTTTTCAATATATTAAACCAATTTCCGAAACAGAAGAGATTTTGTTTTCTCGAATCATATAAAACAGTGCATAATACCTAATAATAAGGTAACTTATTAATAATAAGATCATAGATTAGTCGACTAATTTTAATTTATATTATATTCTGTAAGTGATCCATTCTTTCACATAAACGACCAGAATTATGTGCCCTATTAATAGACGAACGGTTTGACAAATAAGAATTCATATGTAGGTTTTTAAGCTTTTCTTTTTCAACTTTGAAAAACAACAATATTTGATTGGACTGACAAAAACACAGTCATTTTAAACAAAGAACCCAACATAAACAAACGAAAAATCAGGGAATCCATCTTAATTGAACAAAACAACCCTACTCTAAACCAACACCCCGGGGTGCCTAGATACCTCTTCTAAGTTTTGCAACATTATCCGGTCATCTGACTTCTTTGTTCAATACTGTATATGTAGTACATACGCGTCAGTGTAAATTACTTGTACCTGATGATGACAAAACATTGTCGAAACGTTGTACATTTGCTGTTATGTTAAACTTATATTAAAGTTTTTGTTCATTCCCCATTCAAGCCGTCTCCGACCATTATAAAACAGAAGTATTTTGACGACAGCTGTCAACTACTGAGGCTAATAGCACTTTAAAAAGTCATGTTCCACATCTCCAGTACTGCCAAGAAACGGTCTTTCATATCGATCGTGCTTGTTCTGATTAGCCATGATTACTCCCTTTCGCCCGACATTGCAATTTCAACTGTAACAAGCTTCTGCGAAGAACGACGACATTAGTGTTAGACAATACATCCACATACCTTCCCTTTCCAAGACCATGTTTTAGGCAGAGCAAAGCCACAAGAACTGTAGAGGAGAGCTTGACAAGCACGTGCTCAAATTAGGTTACTGTCATTCCAGATTCCTCTGCCATCTTTCTCAGTAAAACATTGATTTGTTGGAGAAATGGCTGGTAACTTATAAGCTTTCATCAGCTTTAAATCATTGTTTATTTTCTTGTTTATAGCGGCAGGAAATACACCCAGCTTCATAGAAATAGCTTTGCGAATGAAAGCGTTGCTACAGATTTGTTCAGAGAAATAGCTTTTTCTTTCTTTTTTCTTTGGGGCGTCGAACGGTTCTCTTTCCCAACCATGGTCTTCACTTTGCGAATGAAAGATCTGTTAGGGTTGTAGGATACTAAACTTGTCGCCTGTGGCGCCACAGCTCGCCTCTACGGTTTGGCTTCTTTGTTTTGAATTTCGCGCAAAGCTACACGAGGGTTATCTGCGCTAGCCGTCCCTAATTTAGCAGTGTAAGACTGGAACGAAGGCAGCTAGTCATCACCACCCACCGCCAACTCTCGGGCTACTGTTTTACGAACGAATAGTGGGATTGACCGTCACATTATAACGCCCCCACGGCTAAAAAGGCGAGCATGTTTGGTGTGACAGGGATTCGAACCTGCGATTTTCAGATTGCTAGTCGAGCGCCCTAACCACCTGGTCATGCCGGGGCCCGCCTCTACGGTAACACTCCACTGCATAACCACATAAAAATCGTTCATACAAAGTGCGATTACCCATCTGTATAATATTATCAATAACACAATACCCTGTTTCTATCCTAATGATATAGCAATATAGAACGTTAGTGTCGTATTTCATCATTTAGTTTATCTATCTCCAACTGTACTAGCAGCTGTTCTATATATACATTATATATAGTACTTTTAACTACCGTACTAAGGCAATTCTAAAGAAAACTCCGCCAAGTATCTTCCCAGTAAGGGAATGTCCCTTTACTAAATTACGATGCCTTGCCCACTCTTTAAAAGATATTTGAACTATTCTTAATATTACCGTCCACTCAGTCACGCTATACGGATGTTCTCAGATACGAATCGTAATTTATTACACAAAATCAACAACGTTCAACTATGATAGAAGAATTTCGAATACTTTACAGATGGTAATGAAAATAATGTTTCGTTGGCTCGATACATTGAGTCCAAATCTTATCATACACCAATAATATAACTTGGAAAAACGGATGTTCATCCGTCCATTGTGCATGCGTATAAAGAAGAGAAAAAGAAATACGCAAACAACAATTATATGTGTAGGTCAAGGCCAACTAAGAGCGACTCTTACGGATGCATGTCAAACCTATGTGTTTGTGTTCTTAGAATTTAACCGATCCTTTTTCTGTTGCAAAATTTGTAAATCATAATTTTCATGACATGCTGCATCACCGAAATGATCTTTTAAAAGCCAACTTTTCAGAGTAGTGTTTATATCGTTTTACGTTTTATCGTGTTACATTTTTATATTTTAAACAAAATGCACGTGCAATATAGCACGTTTGAACATATTTTATTTCGGTTTCGAATTAGATCGTAGTGAAATTTTCTAAACTTTTGTTTATCAATTCAATGTTTTGTTCAGTTGTGAATATTTCGTTAACAAGGGTATAAACATGAGTGACCAATTCAAACCTTTGAATGTGGGTGGATATTCACAGAATCAACACTGCCGAAAATCGTTTTAGTTGTAGAACAACTTTTAGAAAAAGCATGTATGTTAGGGGCCAAAATATTCGATTGTGTGTGTGGTTAGATAAGAACGCGAAATGAGTAAAATACCGCAACTCCATGTATTTTGTCGAATTGCGACAAGTTCTATTAGTACCTATATATATATATATA